TATATTCCCACCAGTAATGTAGAAGAGTTCCAGTTGCTCTACATCTTTGTCAACACTTAGTATTGTCAGTCTTTTAAATTTTACTGATATAGATATCTTTTTGGTGAAGTGTCTAAGCAAATATTTTTGCCTATTAAATTTTTTAAAATTTAATTGTAAGAGTTCTTTATATATTCTCGATATGAGTTTTTGTCAAATGTATGTTTGTGAAGAGTTTCTCCCAGTTTTTGTCTTGCTTACTCATTTTCCTAATGGTATCTTTTAATTTTGGTAAAATCCAATTTATAATTTTTATTTTATAGCTTCTGCTTTTGTGGCCTGTATTAGAAATTTAGCTTAATCTAAAGTTGCAAAGATTGTCTTCAATGCTTCTTCAAGAAGTTTTATTGTTTTAACTTTTACTTTTGGGTATATAGTCCATTTTGAGTTAATTTTTTTATAAGTAAGGTATAAGGGAAATGTTAAGGTTTAATTTTTTATATATGAATATTCAATTACTATAGCAACATTTTTTGAAAAGGCTATCATTTCCCATATTACATTACCTTGATAACTTTGTCAAAGATCAATTGCCCATATGATTTTTTTTTTTCCCCAGATTTTGTTATTTTCATCTCTCGAAGTTCCAGTTGGTCCTTTTTTGTTTGGAAGACAGTTTTATGACAACTTTATTCGATAATCACCTTTTAATTTTCCTTCACACTGACTGTCTGTAGGTTTTTGAAACTGGTAACATAGGTAATCAATGTACAGATCTTGGTGAATCTTCATCCTCATTACATTTTCCGAACAACTGTACATGAATATGATATGGAACATTCCTTATTTCTTTGGCCCAGAGAGCTTTGTTGAGTTTGGTGTTGGTGCACACATCTGGCATTCCCATTTCCTTCATGACAAATTTCCAGATCTTCTTGATTGCCCAGGGGGCACACTTCTTGAAGCCCACTCCATGGATGTGCTTGTGAATGTTGATGGTGTACTCTCCTGTCATCACCTCGTTGGTGGCAGAACAAGTCATCTTTTCTCACCACCCTTCTTTTCAGGAGCCATTGTGCTAGGACCAGGTTAGAAAGGAAGAGTTCAAAGGATTGTCCCAGTGAGTTCTTTAATGTGTGTGTATCTGTGTGTGTATATTTCAGTTTCTCCTCATTATATATAAATATGTCTCCTTTAAAATCCTTGAGTACATTTGTTTGAAAGTTCTTTTTTGCTAATCACATCATCTCTGCAATTTACGGATCTGTTTCTTTTGCTTGGTTTTCCTCTTGCTATGGGTCATGTTTTCCTGTTTCTTTCCATTTCTAGTAATTTTTTATTGGTTGTTATATATTGTGACTATTTATTTGTTGCATGCCTAGATTTTGTTTTCTTCCTTTAAAGAAGTGTTAAGTAACTTGTGGATCAGCTTGATGTTTTTTGAGGATTGTTTTTGAGTTTTGTTTGGATGAGTTCAGACAAGCCTTTATTCTAGAGCTTGCTTAACCCTACTACAAAGGCATGATTCTTCTCGAGTCTCTACTGAATGCTCTGGGTGGCTGAATCACAATGATTTCCTAGCTCTGGGAATTGTTGTGCTTACAATTCCTCACTAGTTTTTTTTTGCCAGGTTTCATGGAATTACATCCTATGCACACACAGATTAGTATTCAGCAACAGATTCTCTCCTTCCACTAAGGTTCTATGGTCCTGCAAATTCCCGCTATCTCAGTTTTCCCAATTTCTAATCTCTGTCTTCTTAACTCAGTAAGACCACCATGCTCTGCCTGGGTTTCCTGTTTCTGCAGTGCCAGAAAGTGCCTCCAGGGAGAAAGCAGGGCAATCGTAGGGCTCACCTTGTTTCTCTTCTTTCACATAACCCAGTCCTGTCCAATGGCTAAGAATTCATACATTTCATACATTTTGTGAGTTTTCTTGTTGCTTTCAGTGGGAGTGCATGCCCAGTCCCAGTGATTTCAACATGGAAAGAAATGGAAGTGGAAGTTCTCTTTGATATTTGATATTTGATCCTTCAGGTAATATAAATGAGACAGCTTTAGGGGTTCCCCAGAGACCCCTAGTGAGACTTGAATGAATTCTCATTCCTTTAAAAATATCCTCTTTTCCTTAAAGCTTTTGAAAATAAGACTGCATCTAGAATGCATTCTCCAGATAGAACACCTGTATCATCAGGCTCTTTATTTAAGAAGACTCTTTTATTTTTATACCATTATTTTCGATTCTCTTTTGCATCAGCAAGACTCACAACAAAAATAAAATTTCTAGTATCACCTTTTTCCATAATGCCATATCCTCCTCTCTTAGTCAGTTCTTACTCAGTCCTTCTTAAATGCTTGGTGTTTTTACAAATTACACCATGGTACCATTAATTAGGTATCCCTAGTAGCAGAGGGGGGTTAGGATCCCTTCATGTAGTAGTTGAGAAAATGGAAAATGAGAGCTCGAATTGAAGGAGAATTCGAAGCTTCTGGGAATTTTATTTTTAATTTCATTTTTATTATTACATAGTATACAGGTACCATATTCCTAGCTCAGATGTCCTTGTATAATCTAAGTAATTTTGGTATTTTAGCCACATAGAAAACCAGTGCAAGTGACAGTTGAAAATAAAAAATTTAACATCCAAGAAACATTTCATCCTTAAATTTGTTTGACATGTTTCTATCTCAGAAAGTTAATTTGATTTATTTTTTGACAATTAAAGATCTTCACAACATGTCTGAAGTCAAGACATTTAATATATTTACCATACTGATTGGGTGGAAGGGATGAAAATGATCTATAATATTAAGAACAAGTAGTAGGGACCTAGAAAGCCACAAACTCTCTGGAACATGACCATTTTGTCCTTTTGGGCTGCTTGCTCATTTGGCCTGATGAATTAAAGGTTTTGAAACAAGGCTTCAAAGCCATTCAAACCAGTTCAGTCACGGATGACAAATTTGGGTGACCTGGAACCATAACCAGAACGGGAAAAATTATAGGTCAAAGCCCTAGAATGGGAGACTCAGAAGAGGCGTAGTGAGCCCTTTCAGGAGCCTGATACATGAGACTGGATTATTGTCAGGACTGAGGAGAACAACACACATTCAAAGTGGTGCAGTCAGCCACCATCTTTGAGCCGGACACTGCTGTTTCCGACTCTGTAGAATCCGACAGGCAAGAGATTTGGTTGCTATGCAGTGCGTATGCAGCCCTTGTTTTCTAAGAGGGAGATTAACTTTCTAGCAGAGCTTCGATCCATAATTTTTCTCATTCCGGTTATTGTTCCGGTTCACCCAAATTTAAAAAAATTCTGGTCCGTTCCGGTGTCGCTTCCTCGCCATGATTGAACCGAGAAGAACCAGTGCAAAGCCCTGTTTTGAAGCAATCTAGCATACTAACAAAAAATTAAATTGACATGTTTATTACTGTTTTACTTATGTATAGGAGCCTTTGTATAGTAGTGCTAATAACTCTTTTTCTGTCACATATACTTTTTATCTTTTTTATATAATTTTTTTTCCTGTAGAAGTTAAAAATATTATACTTGCATATCTATTAATCATTTCCTTTCTAGTTTCTAGTTTTCTTGTCATGCGTAGAAAACTTTTTATACCCCAATATTATTTTTTTTAAGTTTTTCCATATCTTCTTCTGACGTTTTATGATTTAACTATTTTTACATCTAGTATTTACCTATCTGGTGTTTTTTCCTTTTTGATCTTTTATTTGTTCGTTTGTACATTTGTTATTTTTTTGAGGTGAAATTCACATACAATAACATAAAAATAATTATTGTAGAGTGAACGTTTCAGTGGCATTTAGTACATTCACTATGTTCTTTCAAAACATTTTTATCTGCAACCAATGTCACAAAACAATTTGTGTATAAATTTTTGAATGAGAAACTAATTTGCGCTATAAACTTTTACCTAAAGCACAATTTAAAAAAAACAAAAACAAGAACCAAGGGTGGGGAGTATTTTTTATCACACCTTCTTTCCCCCACTCCCGGCAACCAACAGTCTGCTTTCCAGCGCTGTGGATTTCCTATTCTAAATATTTCATATAAATAAAAAATGAAAAACCAAAACCATTGCCGTCGAGTTGATTCCAACTCATAGCAACCCTATAAATAGAATCATATAACACGTGACCTTTTATGTCTGGATTTTTTTCACTTAGCATAATGGTTTTGAGGTTCATCTTAGTTGCAGCATGTGTTTCATTTCTTTTTTATGACTAAATAATATTCCCTTGTATGGATATAGAATATTTAGTTTATCCATTTATCCACTGATGGACATTTGAGTTGTTTCCACCATTTGGTTATTGTGAATAAATAGTGCTGCTATGAACATTTGTGTACAAGTATTTGTTTGAGTACTTGTTTTCTATTCTTTTGAGTATATACCTAGGAGTGAAATTGTGGCATTTATTTATATATAAAAAATGAGCTATAAATTCAGCATTTTTTTTTTTCCCCCAAAGGCTAATCATTTGTCTCAGCCCCATTTCCTGTTACCTTTCTTTTACTAATTTGAGATGCTTCCTTTGCCATATACTAAATTCCCATAGGTACTTGGGTCTGTTTCTTACCTCTCTTTTTGGTTCCATTGTTGTCTGCGTTCCATTGTCTGTGTGCCAATACCACAGGTTCTCCCTACCTCATATTCACTGAATTACTGTTTTAATTTTTAGAAGGGAAAGTCTGCTCCCCAACTCTACCCCCATCGGCAATTATCCCTTTTTTTCCCCGTAATTTTCCTTTAGGTAAACCTTCCACTCTTTTCTATTAATGACATTATAAATACTTTAATAATATCTTCTTGACATTCATGTGGAAAATTATCATTTTATTTGTACTTAAGAAAATGGTCAACAATTTTATCTCTAAATTGCCTTAATGGAAATGAGTGGTCCTTGTACATGTCAGTGCAGTTATTAGTCAATGTCATTCTGGTAAATGAAGTTTCACATTTTTAGGTGGATTGTGATTCTATTTACTTATTTTTTAGCTTTAAAATCTGAAGGTGATGATTACTATATTAATGGTGCCTGGACTATTGACTGGCCTAGGAAGTTTGATGTTGCTGGCACAGCTTTTCACTACAAGAGACCAACTGATGAACCAGAATCCTTGGAAGCTCTAGGTCCCACCTCGGAAAATCTCATCGTTATGGTAAATGTGCCTTTGCCATTCCATTTCTACTGTTTATAATTGTGCTATTAGGTAAGAAGGGTCAAGCTTTATTATCTCTGTTTTACAAGTGGTGAAATTAAAGTCAATGAAGGTAAAATGGTTTTCTCAAGAGTGTAAAATCTGTGCAGCATTAAGGCCATAGTGCTCTTTCCATATGACTATTTGATCTTTTCAATGCCTACTTGAATTGTATTTTTGTATCCAAATAAGGGAAATCAGAAAAATAGCCCCCCAAAAATCTATTCAAGAAAATTCAGTATAAGTGCATGTGTTTTACAATTTATCTTGAATTTCCTGTGAGACTTGCTTTATGACATTTCTTCTTCAAAAGAAATAATAACTATCTGAATGAAGGCTCATTATATTTTAATTGTCTTCACCAGTTGTTTTCAATGGCAGGTTCTGCTTCAGGAACAGAATTTGGGAATTAGGTATAAGTTTAACGTTCCCATCACTCGAACTGGCAGTGGAGACAATGAAGCTGGCTTTACTTGGAATCATCAGCCTTGGTCAGAATGCTCAGCTACTTGTGCTGGAGGTAAGACACCCACTAGGCAGCCCACCCAAAGGGCAGGATGGAGAGCAAAACATATTCTGAGCTATGCTTTGCGTTTGCTAAAGAAGCTAATTGAAAACATTTCTTGCAGGTTTGCTTCAAGCTGTAATTTAGCAAAAGAAACTTTGCTTGAATTATATTATATTCTGTTTGTTTTCAACCTTGTATAATTTGTACAGATTTCTTGGTAAAATACATCTTGGCACAATGAGTGTCTCTGCTGGTGCTTCTCCCAAGACTGTTTTGAAGGTGGGCTGTTTGCTTTTCGGGAACACATTCTTGGTAAAGAACATCAAGAGTTTTAAATAAGAAAATGAGTAAGAATCAGACGGCACAGATGAAACTTCTTGTAATGGGGGGTGAGAATGTATGTTTGTGTGCTTGTGTGTTTGTGTTTGTGTGCTTGTGTGTTTGTGTTTGTGTGCTTGTGTTTGTGTGCTTGTGTGTTTGTGTGCTTGTATGTTTCCCACAATCCTATTCAAACTACCTTCTCCAGCCATCAAAGTTAAGGGGCTCTATATTGGGATACTACAATAATTACTGGTGTCTGGGTCTCTGGGTTAATGGTGTATTCTGACCCTATTATAGTCCCTCAGAGAGGTAGCTGCTAGGCGGTGGTTGGTGATGTGTTGGTTGTCCCATGTGCGTTTTTCATGGGTGCCTTTTCCCCACAATTTACTCTATTCCTAATCCTCCTCCCTCTAGTGGCCACCAATGCAATTCTTTACCTCTGGCTGGGAGAGCAGGACAGTTGGCTTCCTTCAAAGCCAACACCCTTGCTGCTGCATGGACTGGTGAGTAGAAGTGCTGTGCAAGCAGCATCTTCCTTCTCTCTGGAGACTAAATGCATCGCCTCCACCGTACACCTTGATCCCATTAGACAAGGAAACAAACCTGTCCCTCAACCCTAGGCTGGACTAGACACCTCACCATTCCAAAAGCAATGATTAGATTTTGAATAGTGATATTTAGAATAGGCTAAATTGAAATAATTTTAAATTTTTAAAAAGTGAATCATCCCATTTTACCTCATACTCTGATATGTTATCTATTTTCCTGTGCTAAACTGCTCAGAAGAGTGCGGTTTCACATGGACTTCATCCTTCCGTGTCCTGTTCTCACTGAATCTCTAAATACCTCTTATTCTCAAGACTTGAGTCCAAGAAATTATTTTCACATAAATGATTATGATATAATAGATTCAGTATTTTTAGTCTCATACAGAATTAAATCAATTGATTAACTACAAATCCAACTTTGATACTAAATAATAAATGAATAAACAAAAACGTAAATGAATAATAATATATTAATGTGTTCTCTTGTGTGAATATCATGAAATATAGTTAGGTATAATTACATATTTAAAAAGATCTCTAATTCCCATCCATTTTATGTGTGAAATGGTTGGTGATTTATAATGTAAACTTTTAAAAACTATAGGACATTACCAATTCTTTTAGTAAAATAAAGGATACTTGCAATTAATCCTTCAAGTGAATGTCATTGTATTATATATTAGTGACATTTATGTATATATCTTCCTTAGTTTCAACTAAATTCATTTTTATTCAGTCTATAAGTTAACTTTACCCCTTTCCATGTACCAAAAGAAATCTTCATTAGAATAGTGCATATATAATTCAGCCCTGAGGTGAAGTGGGATAAACTTATTAAAGAAGAGCCAAGATAATTTAATGTTGAGGAAATCAAATGAGGAAAGTCTAAATTTTGAGGTAGATTAGCATGGATAAGAAGAGGTTGAGGAAAGCCTATTCGTGTCTTCAACTATGTGACAGAATGTTGAATGGGAAATTCTTAGTGCCTGTTCTTCTCTGTACTGAAAATTGCTATATTTGGGGATGGTTTAGACACAGTCTTGTCTGAAGCCAAGGAGGGATTAAGTGAATTCTCAGTGTTCCTTTAACCCCATGATTCTATTGTTCAGAAAGGAGATAGTCCAACAAAAAAAAGGCAAAAGTGACCATGAGAACTGAATTTAGAAGAATAACTATTATTTTGTTAAAGTTAAGAACTCTGAAAAATCTAGATGAATTTTATTCTTTTCCATCAATATTTGTATCAAGAAATAGAAGCGATTTCTTGTGATAACAGATGAAATAAGAAAATAAAAACAAACCAAAAGAAAAACGGGGGTGGGGGGAGGGCCCTGTAAGGAAAATTTCCTCTTTTTTGAAATTTACACTTCTTTCTTTGATTCTGGAGCTACTGATCCTAGATATTTGAGGTGATTCTGAGAAGCTGAATTCTGCTCAGGTGTGAGTGATAGTGACAATATTCTTGGAGCCCATTGCCGTCTTTGGACGAGGGATGTGCAGTGCTTGAAAGTTGGCAGGGGTGGTGTGAAAAGCTAGAATTTGTCATAGCTACTAATTCTGAATGTGTGGTCCTTGGACCAGTAGCATCAGCATCACCAGGGTACTTATTAGAAATGCACATTTTGGGACCCCACCTTAGTTTACGGAAGTAGACTGCCATCTCTTTCTCCCTTAGAGCAGCTTGTGGGTTCAAACCACCAACATTTCGGTTAGCAGCCAAGTGCTTAACCACTGTGTCACCAGGGCTTGTGGCGCAATGGTTAAGTACTTGGCTGCTAACCAAAAGATCAGAGGTTCAAACCTACCAGTCGCTCTGTGGGAGGAAAGAGCTGGCGATCTGCTCCTGTAAAGATTACAGCCTAGGAAACCCTATGGGGCAATTCTACTCGGTCATATAGGGTCGCTATGAATTGGAATCGACTGGAAGGCACACAACAACAGCAGATGTTAGGCAATGGTAAACAGAACTTCATCTACAGTTAAGAAACCTCTTGGGAAAAAGTCATTTTTATTCATCTATTTCTACCTAGTTTTCACTCAGGAACTAAGGGTGAATATTAAAATCAGTCTTTAGCATATTCCACTCTCATCTCCCCAGGGATTTGTTGGGTGTCTTTAGGCTGTCAATTTTTTTAAAAAGAGAAAACAAGGAAGCTCTCAAACAACTTGCAATTGCAGTCTTAGACCACACCTGTTACCATCCTGCACATGTTTTCTTATTAGCAGGATCTTTGAACTTTTGTTGAGTTTGGGAGTAATGATAATAGATTTCTCTTACGAGATCTTTTAAGATAAGAAATTTGGAGACTGTTTTTCTGTTGCTTAGCAGACCCAAAATGAAAAATTTAATGCTGCAGGAAGCATTGCTGGTGATTCAGTCTAAGTAATGGTCTTTTCTCTGAGTCAGTGATGAAACACTTCCTTAGCCTGATTAGGATCATTGAGATGCTATGGGGTGTTGTCTTCAGGATAAATGTGGTTCTTAAGATACAGTTGTAACTCTTCCTCTGAGAGAAATCCAACCCCAATGAATTAAAACTTGACTATTTTCAGAACCATTGTCACTCCTTCTAGAGTTTTGCTTCTTTATTCCTTAACCAAACTATTGTATACTGTGTAATTTATCTGACTCCCAAATTTATCTACTATCATTGGATTAGTGATTGTTGTAATGTATTAATTGACAATACATTGGTAGTAAAAATTGTATTATTTTAAAATATAAAGCTGTAGGATTTTTTTGTTTTGTTTTTAAGTAGTAATTTATGCCTGTGTACCTTTGCATTGTGACTTTGGAAGTTCCAAATAACAAATATTTTGTATTCATCCTTTCATTGTAGTTTGTCATACTCTCTTTTTACTGATGTTTGACTCAAAGGGTGGTTCTCAAATTCCAGCATGCGTCAGGATCACCTGGAGGGATTGGTAAAACACAGATTTCTGGGCTCTACCCCAGTTTCTGATTCAATAGGTTTGGGATAGGATGCGGAGCCCTGGTGGCTCAGTGGTTAAGAGCTCAGCTGCTAAGAGTTCGGCAATTCGAATCCACCAGCTGCTCCTTGGAAACCCTATGGGGCAATTCTGTTCTGTTCTATAGGGTTGCTGTGAGTCAGAATCAACTCGACGGCAACAAGTTTTTGGGGATAGGATGCAAGAATTTGCATCTGTAACAAGCTTCCAGGTGATGCTGATGCCACTGGTCCAGGAACCACACTTTGAGAAACACTGGGCTAAACACTTAGATTTCATAAAGCAAATGCCTATTAAAATAAAGTGACAAGTCTTTTAGGTAATAAGCCATATTCCATGTTACAAGTAGTTTTTTTAATGACAAGTGTTCTACTACTCAGCTATATAATAATAAATAAAAATTTTACAGTTCATAAAACATTTTCTGCTGCCCTAGTTCAGTTGATCTCCTCAACATCTCTAAAGATAGGCATTGCTGTTATCATTTCTATTTTAAGTGAAGTAACTTGCTAAAATCAAGACCTAGAAATGAAATCTCTATTGACCTTTTCAATGTAGCATTTTCTGTCATAATAAAGATGGTCTTTTACCTTGAACAGAGCTTTTTCACCATTTGGTGACCTGAATAGATCAAGATGATAAACTCGTACTCAATAATATCTCTTTTACCAGCCTGAAATTTCATTATTCCAAATGCTTTACCTAGAGAGAAGTTCACAACCATGGCTGCACATTGGAGTCACCTGGAGAGTTTTAAACAATTTGATATTTGAATCCCACTTCCAGAGATTCTGATTTAATTGGCTAGTGGTGTGGCCTGGGCATCAGGTTTTTAAAAGCTCCCTAGGTAATTCTAATATGCAACCAAAGTTGAGTATTAGTGCCTTTGAGACTGACTGAAGTTATTTCATCTTCAAAAAAATTTTCATCCAGATACAAATACCTCTGGGAGCATTACTAAGTAACACACGTCTCTGATATTAATTGGCTGCTAGTTGAATGCAAAGGTTAATGAGATTTAGGTATAAGTATCTGGGGTGGGGAAGTAGAGCGGGACATCGGAGGAGGAAATGAAAGAAGTGGTAGAATACCAATTAATTTCATAATTTTGCTTAGTGTGGTCATTGACCTTGGACATGCCTATAGAAAGCTTTTTTGTAGCTCAGTTCATTT